CCTCGAGCTCCAAGCTGAGCAAGGCAAGAAGGTAAAGGCCATTGTAGAGGTGTTTTCCTGGGGCCACAGGCCTGCGGAGCTGGGTAAGCTCTTTAAATAGCACTGGCGATTATTACAGAGTAGCACTCCCTTTACAGCTTTCCACTCAAAACAGGCCTGCTCCAGTGTTTAGTCTCTCTGGGGGGCAGCTGGACAGGCCACTTCGCTTCACAGCTAAGGAGAGGTTACAAGGCAATGAAGATATTTTTGTCTCTTCTCTTTCAATGATTATTCCCGTGCTGTGGCAGCCACTGCAGCAGCTAAGAGAGAATTGGAACATCAGCCCTTGTCTGTCAGAGATTTAGAAGTCAGAGTTGGAATTAATGGAGCCTGAGTAGCCACAGTCAGGCAACCATCACTGATTGCACAGGGTGCTTTGCCCCGATAGGAAGAGCAAATGCCAGAATAATTAGATGGTCTGGATTCTATGTCATCTCCATCACAGCAAATGCAGTAATCGCTCAAATGAAGATGTGTTCTAACACATGGATGGATCTAGGTAAGGATAATATTCTACATCTAGTAGTGCTAGTTGTAATGAAAAATAATAATGATAATCTTGGTCATAAAACTTATGCTGGGGCCAGCGCTGTGGAGTAGCGGGCTAAGCCTCTGCCTGCAGCACCAGTATCCCACGTGGGTGCCGGTTTGTATCCCGGCTGCTCCTCTTGGATTCAGCTCTCTGCTATGGCCTGGAAAAGCAGTAGAACATGGTCCAAGTGCTTGGGCCCCCTGTACCCACGTGAGAGAATCAGAGGAAGCTTCTGGCTCCTGGCTTTGGCCTGGCCCAGCCCCAGGCATTATAGCCATTTGGGGAGTGAATCAGCAGATGGAAGATCTCTCTCTGTCTCTGCCTGTCTCTGTCTATAACTCTACCTATCAAATAAATCTTTTAAAAAATTATCCTTACATGGGAACATTAGCTTTTATAATATTTAAATTGAGCCTGATGTGCACAGCCTGTTTGCTCATTAACCCCTCAGAGCCGCCTCCTGGGGCAGGAGAGACAGGTGTCAGTACCAATCCCATTCTGCAGATGGAGACACAGAGACCTGGAGAAGTCCTGACACCAGTTAGCAGTCCCCGATGTCTCAGGCTCATCAGCCAACACATTCAGTGCATCCCTCGGCCTGGGGCTTGGAGGACAGAGGCCAACAGCCCACTCCACAGCTCCTGCCCCCCTCCCCATTTTCTCTGGGCAGCTGAATGATAGAAGCTGGTGTCAGCAGGACATGGTTCCTGCCCTGACCTCAAGAATGGGTGGCCAGTGGGAGGAGGGGGAGGCAGAGTGGAACATTTAGGATTCCCCAACTTGGCCGGAACAAATTCTGCAACTGCCCCCGACACACACTCTTCCAAATAACCTCTAACAATTATGAAAATTATTGCCAGGAAGGAACATATTAGAATGCAAATCAAGTGCAGTTCTGACTGTAAATCATTAAGAAAAAATGTCGTTTCCATTTATAGAGTCAATTGTAGGTGCTCAGGACTGTTGGTGCGGCCAACAGTGCTTACAGCAGAAACCTGAAGAGGGCCATCAAGATAGTGGGGTCCAGGTCCCTCATTTTGCAGATGAGATCCCAGAGATGGGGATGATATTAGGAAAGCAGGCAGCTACAAAGCAGGCACTTGAGTCAGTTGGGAAAAGGTTCAGCTGCAGGCACCAGGCAGCTGGCCTTACAAGGGTGTCTGTCTCACAGAATGGTCTAGAAGTGGGCAGTGCTTGCCTGGGGGTTCCCGGACCCACATGAGAGAAGTCAGCCCTGTTCCTCACCAGCCAGTCCTCTTGCTAGGCTCTGGGGACACTGTAAGATCAGAGATGGGGGCTGGGTGGTGACAAGGGAAGCTTTGTCAAGGACCATGGGAGGAACCAACCAGGTTTTTTTTTAAGGATTTATTTCTTTTTTTTGAAAGGCACAGTTACGGAGAGGCAGAGGAAGAGAGAGAGAGAGAGAGAGGTCTTCCATCCGCTGATTCATTCCCCAGATGTCCGCAACAGCAGAAGGAGCTGAGCCAATCCAAAGTCAGGAACCAGGGCTTCCTCCAGAGCTCCCGTGGGCACAGGGGCCCAAGGACTTGGACCATCTTCTACTGCTTTCCCAGGTCCCAGGCCACAGCAGAGAGCTGGATCGGAAGTAGAGCAGCCAGGACTAGAACCGGCACCCAAATGGATCGCTAACAGTGCAGGTGGTGGCTTTACCCACTACACCACAACGCTGGCCCCACCAAGCTGGTGTCAGGAGGACATGGTTCCTGCCCTGACTGACCTTAAAGGAGAGGTGTGCAGTGGGAACTGGACTACTAACACCTGGAAGACAAATGATTCAGATCCTCTGTTGCCCAAGAGGCCAGAGCTAGGACCAGGAAGCAAACTTGTCAAATGACAAACTGATTTAACAATAGGAAAAATTTTTTAATTTAAATTTTTCTGTATTTTCAGTTATTTGAAAGGCAGAGAGACACAAAGAGATCTTCCATCCAGTGGTTCACTCCCCATTTGCCTGCAACAGCTAAGGCTCAGCCAGGCTGAAACCAGGAACCAGAAACTCAACCCAGGTCTCCTTCATGGATGGCAGGAACCCAAGTACCTGCTGCCTCCCCAGGTGCGCATTAACAGGAAATTCCACTGGAAGCAGAGATGGGACTTGAACCCAGGACTCCACTATGGGACATGGCCATCCCAAATGGCATCTCAACCACTGTGCCAAACACCCACCCCACGGCAGGAATGATTTGAAAGATAGGCGCTCACTAGAAATAGGACACCTCTGAAACTAGTGGATTTTCTGCAGGTGTTCCAGCTAGATAAGGAATTGGAGAGGAGCGTGTGTGTGTGTGTGTGTGTGTGTGTGTGTGTGTGTGTGACAGAGAGAGAGAGAAAGGTGATAGCATTGAACGAACACATGATCTCCATGATCTCCAAATTGCCTGTTGTAGTAGTTAACAAGTGTTTGTTGGGTTTCAACTGTGTTCCACCTAAGGACCGTGTTTTCCAAAGAAGAAGTTGGTCTGACTTTTGTGGGGAACAAAAGAAAAACAGTGGAGAGAAGAAGGTGTCTTGATGAATGATATTCACCAATTGCCTGCTCGGGAACAACCTGCCTCCTCCCTGGGGACCACCCTCTCCACTGAATGAGCCTGTTCTCATCCTAGCTGACAGGACCAGTGACCAGGGCAAAGTGGCCTTGTGTTTGCAGACACATAGGAGCCTGGCTCTCCTGCCTGTTACATGTGACATGCGTGCGTCTGAAAGGTCCCTGGGAAATACCATAAAGGGAAGGGACCCGGTCACTGGTTAGCCATCACTTGGACCCCTCTGAGCCTCACTTGTCTTACCCGGAAGTTGGGAGATGACACATCTGCCTGATCTAGTTGTTGTAAGGATGGCACTGTGCTTTGCTTGGTGCTTAGCTCTTAGGATTCCACGGGCATTGGCTTAGTTCCTCGTTCTCACTTTGCCACCGATACTATCACGTTGCTTTTCCAGGCCCGGGTTTCCTCTCCTGGAAAGTGAGGGGGTTGGACTGGAACAAAGTCTGCAATGTCGCCCAGCTCCGAACCTCCTGGTGCCCAAAACATGGCAGCCGCGGTTTTCGCAGCCTTCTCTTGGAAGCCATCTCTGCCAGGAGGTGGCACCACTCATTCATGTTTCCAGCAGGGACTGGCTGACCATTTGTTAGTCTCACCTCAGCTTTGAAAAGGAGCCTGAAAACTCGCCTGCTTGGTAGCTGCCTCTAAACTGACTTTAAAAACCCTGCTGCCGATGCAGGGCTGGATTTTCCACTCTCCTGCTTGCTCCAAGCACATCAAAGTTGTCTGTCTTCCCAGTGGGCAGGTCCATTCTTAGGAAAGGGGTAAAAAGAGAAACGAAGGCATGCAGGAGGGGAGGGGACAACTTCCCACTGCATCCTTCCCTTTGCTTAGAAACAAACCTGCAGATACCAGAGAGCATGTGCTGGGGAATTGCACCCACAATCAGCCATTTGCATGCTGTTCAGGAGGCACAAATGGCCAGTTGGGCTGACAGTTGCCTAATTGCCACACAGGGGATCACAGATACAGTTTTGCCGCCTCAATCTCTGACAGCAGTGAAGCTGAAGAGGCCCCCACAATGTGACCTTCCAGTCCTGTTTGGGTCGCTCTGAGCAGAATCAGTGTTGTGGACAGCGAGCAGGGCAGGAAAAGGACTTGAGGCCCATGGCGGGGGTAGAAGTGGGGGGGTGTGCAGAATTCTTAATTTTACCCAAGGCCAGATCTTGATCTATAAAGTAAATTTCACATAAAAATTCTCCCAACTCTAGCCACCTTTGACTTAAGAAAGAGGAGAAGAAGGGAGGGGAGGAGAGAGGATGGAAGAAAGAAAGAAGGAAGGGGAGAGGGAGATAAAAGGAGAAATGTACATTCTGTGTCTGAAATAGTTAAGGTTCAGATAGACTATTCTGTCTTTTCTCTGCTAAGAAGGAAGAGGTTGTAAGAGTTGGGGAGGGAGAAGAACTAGAGTGGCCCATCTCTGCTACCAGCTGGCCCCAAGCGCTTTACACACGTAGCATGTGCTAAGCACAAGTTGTCAGGCTGGGAAATTAGGGGCCAAATCAAATGATCCTGGGGGCTCATCTTGACCTTTCGAATGTTAGGTTGTCAGAGTTTTCTTCTGTACCAGCCTCAGTAGGAAACTGAAGATGTATCCATTCTGAAGATTACTTTCAGAACCCATGCAAGACTTTTCTTTTGACATTGAAAAAAGAAAAGAACCCATGGTAATTCCTTGTCTGTGACAAAGTAGAGCAGGCAGGACAGCTTCCTCTCAGGCAGATGATGTTTGTTTGCCAGAAAGATCACATCACACACCGGCCAAGTCTCACTGACAGCAGCGTACGTCTTGTTAAGGAAAGTCATTCTTGATTACTAATGAGCTTCCAAAATCATATTTGGTAACCGAGATCTTTTCTGTCTTTCAGGGTTCGAGAGGTGGAACAGCAGCAGGCAGAGGGTTGCCAGCAGCACCACCGTGCAGACTCCCCGGATGCTGTCTTTTCGCTGGGTAGGGGAGGCTGGGTGGATGCACCTAGAACATTCCCTGCTGCTCTTGCCCCGGCCCATCTGCAGAATGGGAGCAGGTGGTATGTGAGCAAGAGCATTGCCAGGGTCTCCCTCTTCAGTGCTTGTGGAAAGAGGACTTCCCAGTCAAGGCTGTGGCTTTCTCTCTCCTGGCCTGGTGAGCAAATTCTACTCCAAAGTCAGCCATGCATCTCACAATGCCACCAACGAACTCTATTAGGGGAGTCCATAATAGCTTTTTTAGAAAATCTTTTCAATAATTTTATCATTTGATGGGCATTTAGAATGTTCCATTCATAGATCTAAAATGTAAAAACAGACCTTTGTTCAACTTAAGGAAGTATAGGGGCCAGCACTATGGCACAGTGGGTTAAAGCCCCAGCCTGCAGCACCTGTATCCCATATGGGCACTGGTTCAAGTCCCTGCTGCTCCTCTTCTGATCCAGCTCTCTACTATGGCCTGGGAAAGCAGTAGAAGATGGTCCAAGTCCTTGGGCCCCTGCACCCACGTGCAAGACCCGGAAGAAGCTCCTGGCTTTGGATCAGTTCAGCTCTGACCATGTGGTTATTTCAGGAATGAACCAGCAGAATGAAAGACCTCTCTTTCTCTCTCTCTCTGGTTCTACCTTTCTCTGTAACTCTGTCTTTCAAATAAATAAAAGCGAATTCTTAAAAAAAAAAAAGAAATATATAAGAACTTTGGATATAGACATGGAAGGACCTTATGTACAAGAAAACAATGTCACCCTCTCCAAGCACCAGGCTCTCTAGCTTTGTTTTTAAAGATTTATTTATTTATTTGAATGACAGAGTAAGGGGGAGGGAGAGAGAGAGAATATATCTTCCATTTGCTGCTTTATTCTCCAAATGGCCACCACTGGTGAGGGCTGGGCCAGGCCAAAGCTAGGAGCCTAGAACTCCATCCAGGTCTCTAATGCGGGTGTCAGGGGCCTAAGCACTTAGGCCACCTTCTGCTGACTTCCCAGGCATGTTAGCAGGGAGCTGGACCAGAGTGGAGCCCCTAGAACTCCACCCTGCCCTCCTGTGGGATGCCAGCATTGCAAGCGGCAGCTTAACCCACTACACCACAACACTGGCCCCAAAGTAAGTTTTGTTAGCCGATTTCTTAGATAAAGACTGAGTAACTTGTCCTGAATCACGCTGCTTCTAGGTAATAGAAAACTGAAATCTGTATGTCAGATCCAAAGCCTGTACTCCTTTGGTACAAATTTGGTACAGATATTGTCTGTCATTTCCATGTGCTGGGCACCATTCTAAGTCAGAAGGGCCCAACCCAAGATAGGTGGGGCCTGCTTGCCTGCACCTGCATGGGTTTGGAGATCTTTGTTTTGTTTTTCGTTAGGAAGGGGAGAGAACTATCCAACTGGTTCACACCCTAAATGTCCACAACAGCTGAGAATGAGCCAGGGTCAAAGCTGGGAGCTGGGACTCCCACTTGGGTGGCAGGGTCCCCAACACCTGAACTATCACTACTGCCTCCCAGGGTACATGTTAACAGGGTGCTGGAAATTGGGACCCAGAGCCAGGACTGACACCTGGGGGTTCTGACACTGGATGTTGTTGTCCTAACCAGCATCTTGACTTCTTGACTAGGCATCCACCCTTGTACTGAAAATGTGTCGAAGGAAGAAACTATAGCATCCAAGAATGATTCAGTGGTGGGGGTGGGGGGTCTGAGGTCTGAGATGAGAAAGGAGCAGGTGACCTTGGACCAAGAGTTGGATCTGTGCCAGAACTTTCCATAGGTGGACTCAGGACAGTCTGATGGGGAGGGGGATGGCGCCAGTTCACCCTTACCCCTGCCACACTGCTCGAACTTTGTGAAAAGCTCAGGTAAACATCAGCCTAGAAGACTGCAGCTCATTTCAGTGCAGACCAGCTGGAGTGAGTCTGGCGCTCAGTTGAGTGTCGTCTCAGCCACATTCCTACAGCCATGGAATTCTCGAAGGACCAGGCTTCACATCTCTGCTTATGCCTGCATCCTATGTGGCTTTCACCTCAGTCTCCTCATTGCTAATAATCACTGCTGTGTAGGGTTGTTATGAGGGTGGCATAGGATGGTTTATAGAAGTGTGCAGCACAGTGCTGGCATGGTCTGAGCCTTCTACGCAGCTCTCTGGGTTTCTCTTCTAGTTAACTCATTGCTCTGATGTTTCCAGATTTCCAACTCTAACTGCCTCCCCTCAGCATGAACCCATGCCCTGGTCAGCCTTGTCTTAAAAAACAAGACTAAACAAATCTTTCTCCACCTACTTGGGGAGCTATCATCCTAGTGCTCTCTTCATGGAGCCTCCAGTCTCCTTGAGAGAAGACTCATGGACTGCCAGTTCCAAAAAATAGAGAGTTTGTCTCATGTATTTCTCTGTCCTCCAGTGTCTAGTCCAGTGCTTTGGCTACCTAATAAATTACATTCAGCAAATGACTGAGTGTCTGCATTTCTTCAGTAGATTCCCAATGTCCTTTCAGGCTAGCTTCTGCTCTCTCCATACTTCTAAAACTTTTTCACTCCAAAGTGACCACTGCTAGGAGGGCATATGGCACCACCTTTAAAATGCCACGTGGGGGGCCAGTGCTGTAGCACAGCAGGTTAAAGCCCGGGTCTGCAGTGCTGGGCACCAGTCCAAGTCCCGGCTGCTCCACTTCCAATCCAGCTCTCTGCTATGGCCTGGGAAAGCAGTGGAAGATGGTCCAAGTCCTTGGGCCTCTGCACCCACGTGGGAGACCCAGAAGAAGCTCCTGGCTCCTGGCTTCAGATCAGCACAGCTCCAGCTGTTGTGGTCATTTGGGGAGTGAACCAGTGGATGGAAGACTTTCTCTCTCTCTTTCTCGCTCTCCTCTCTTTCTTGCTCCCTCTCTCTCTGCCTCTGCCCCTCTGTAACTCTGCCTTTCAAATAAATAAATCCTTTAAAAAAAAAAAAAAAGATGCCACATGGGATACCTGACTCTCATATCAGAGTTGCTGAAATCAAGTCCCAGCTCCACTCCCAACTCCGTCTTCCTGCTAATGAGCGCCCTGGGAGGCAGCAAGTGATGACCCAAGTAGCTGGGTCCCTGCCACCCACTTGGGAGGCTCAGATGATTTCCAGGCTCCTGGCTTTGCCCTGCCCCAGCCTCAGGTGTTATAGGCATTTGGGAAATGAACCAAAAGACAAGAGCGAGCACTCATGCTTGCTCACTTGCTCACTCGCTCTCTCTTGCCTTTCAAGTAAAATGAAATTAATTAATCAATCAAATTTTAAATGACTGCTGTTTTCATTATCGAAGCTGGGTATTGCTCTCCATCCTCTTAAACTCTGCATGGTCGATGTAGTTCTTTCAGACAGGGTTTTACTTTGCAGCGCAGAGTAAGTGCAGACGTTTTCCCAGGGACGCAGACAAGCCTGGGTTTCCTAGTTGCTCAGGTACCCACTTACTCAGCTGTATCCTCCGAAGTCTTCCAAGACTGCCTCTCTTTGATGGGGGTGAGTGGCAGAAGTCGGTGAACATCCTGGAAACCCCCTTCCCTGTTCTCAACACAGGAAACCATCTCTTCCCTCCTCTGACATGCTTTACTCCGCCTTATCTGTGATGCCCTTGTGGAACTACATAATCGTGTCTATGTCACCTACCACTTGGATGCCCTGTGAGGGCAAGACACGGGCTTTTTCACATCTTCCCATCACAGAAACAGACCAACTGAAAGAACTGCTAATGGAAAGAAGAGAAGGTTCTGGATACCTGTGCAAGATCTGCCCATGGAGAGTTTTAGAACAGGTTCTTTAATCCAAGGGAGACTTGGTAAAGCCCTGGAATATGCCAGCCCTGGGCTAGAAACAGTAGGATGAAATAGAAACGGACGCTGAGAGCAAAGACTTCACTTAAAATTTTATTGGGACAAGGCACAAATACCAAAAAATTAAGTGGAAACTCAAAAATGTATGAAATAAAAGAGAATTCAAAGACTCAACCATGAGCAACATGGTAGAGGAAAAAACACCTCCGCCCATCCATCTCTCTCTCTCTCTCTCTCTCCCTGCCTTTCAAATAAATAAAAATTAAAAAGATGGGGGAAGGTAGAACTTACTGTAAATTCTTTATAAAAGATTTATTTGTTTATGAGGCAGAGCTATGGTACTGGAGGGAGTGAGAGAGAAAGGGATCTGCCATCTGTAATGGTTTACTTCCCAAATGGCCACAATGGCCAGGTCTACACCAGACCAAAGCCAGGAGCCAGAAATTCCATCCAGGTCTCCCATATGGGTGGCAGGGACCCAACTACTTGGATTATCTTCCACTGTTTTCCTAGATCTGTGAACAGGAAGCTAAATCAGAAGCATGGTAATGGGGACTTGAACCTGCACTTCTGTATGAAATAGTGGCATCACACCTGGTGGCTTAACCTACTGTGCCACAACACCAGCACCATGCTGAACTCTTTTAATTATTTCACTTATAGTAATTTGCCAGAATATTGGATGTGTATATCTTAGCATTTACTATGGTCCGTATACTACAGGTTTGGGGCACTGCTGTATTTAAAATCCAGGTAGTTCCAGTGCGGCAGAGTGGATGAGAGTGGGAGCTCTGGGTCAGCGAGAGCTGGATTTCAGTCCTGACTCCATCTCTCTGACTTCCATGGGTCCCTCGAAGCCTGAATCCCAACAGTCCTATGAGACAGGAATCATAATGCCTATTCTCAAGTGGCATACAGATATTTAATGAGCACCTACTATGTGCATGAAACTCTTCCGGATCCAGGGAACCAACAGCCAATTTAGTTGACCTGATGGGGCATGAAGAGTGAGCTATATGCAGACCGTTGAGCATAGTGCTGGCACAAGTGCCATCCTTCCATAAACAGTCACCATGGGTATTCTAAGTACCTGATAAGGCTGAATTCTCTCTCACCAGGCCCAACTCAATGTCCACCTATTTTGGGAAGCTACCCCTGACCACTGTAGTCACTGCATTCTTCTGGATAGTCGGGAGATTTTTCTGTTGTATCCACAACAGGTGCCTAATTACAAGCTATCTTATGATTTTATTGCCTCCCAGCTTGTCTGGGGCAGTGATGAGCCTGGAGGCGAGCAGCATGTATGAAGGAGGGGAAGAGAGATGATTCAGCTCAGTATAGCCAGATCCCAGCTGGCCCCAGACTGATGGGACACTGGGACTCCTTTCTACATGACCCTATACTGCAGGCCTGACTTGGCCTAGACGTGGACCCAACAGCCACAGTAGCAGTCTGACCCCAGGCCAGGCTTAGGAAAGGAGATGAGGGACACCCAGCAATGTCTGGCTGGCCAGCAGCCATGGACACATGGTCTCTGATCTGGCAGCTGCCATCCTGGAGTAAGACAAGTTCAGTCTATCCCTAATATCGCTAAATACCACAGTGCCGCTGTACCACAGAGTACACTTCCAAATTTAATCAGAACAAATGTGGATTGTAATTAAGTTAAAGCCCCTCCCAGCAGTGATCTGATTCCACAGCTGAGCCCAGGAGGCAGCATGGGAGCCCTGCACACCTGCCACTTTCTGGCTGCTCTTGGCTGATTCCAAACACTCACTGCCCAGGAGGGTGGGATTAATACTCGTCTTCCAGGCTCCTGGCTCTGCCCAGGGTTCTCTTCCCTTCAGATTTCACTCCCTCGGCTTCCTGCAATAAGACTAGGTGATCAGCAAAACAAACCAGGATTGGTATCCTCATTTGTAACCTGATTTGTTTTAGGTCTAGTCCAGGCTTGTCTGAGGCCAGGTTATCACACATTATGAAAACTAGTGATCAGACCGTGTATCTTGCTGTTTTCAAGTTTAGGATGGTTTATTCTATACTCCATCATGGGACCCAGTCAGCAATCTTGGTCTGATTGTTCTTTTTTAAAAATTAATTGAGACCGGCGCTGCAGCTCACTAGGCTAATCCTCCACGTTGCAGAGGCAAAGGCTCCTCTTCAGGTCCAGCTCTCTGCTGTGGCCCGGGAGGGCAGTGGAGGATGGCCCAAGTGCTTGGGCCCTGCACCCGCATGGGAGACCAGGAGGAAGCGCCTGGCTCCTGGCTTTGGATCGACGCAGCGCCGGCTGTAGTGGCCATTTCGGGGGTGAACCAATGGAAGGAATACCTTTCTCTCTGTCTCACTCTCTCTGTCTGTAACTCTGTCAAATAAAATAAATAAAATGGGCTAGGAATGCATCTGGTTTGTCCAGCCTACAAAACATGATAGCTTAGCAGCACGGTACACTGTCAGTCATTTCCCCTCCTGATCTGGTGGCTGACTGGGAGCTGCGGCTCGATGCTGCCTCCTGCATCACGCCACACACCACTAGCTCAGAAGAAGATCAAAATTCAAGAGTCTGGGCTGGGTGTTGTGCCACAGTGATTAAGCCACTACTTGAGACACCTGCATTCCCTCATAGAGTGCTTGGAGTCCCAGCTACTTTGGTTCCAATCTAGTTTCCTACTAACGTGCTCCTGACAGGCAGTGAGTGATGGCACTAGTGGTTGGGTCACTAACTCCCATGCAGGAGACCTGAATGGAACTCTGGCTCCTGGCTTTGGCTTTGGCCAGCCCTGGCTGTTGTGGGCATTTGAAGAGTGAGCCAGAAGATGAAAGATTCTCTCTTTCTTTATCTCTCTCTCTCTCTCTGCCTTTCAATTAAATAACAACGAATAAATAAACTTTAAAAAGTCTAAATTCTAAAGTACAGTTTCTGTAGAATGTGTATCACATTTCTCATCATTGGAAAATAAAAAAAACTGTTAGGTCAAACCATCAGAATGTGTACATCAGGGATTACTTGTGTATATAAAGAAAGTCATAGTGATAAAAATTTGACCCAGTTTTGTGAATCCAGGTATCCCGGAATGTCAGTGCAAACATGTTGAGCTGGCTTTATGTCATGAATGCCACTATATGTCATGAAATGAATAGTTGGTACCCTTCGTAGAACTTAAATGATTATTGGTTCTTTTAAAAAATCTTTATTTTTTAATTTTTTAAAAAAGATTCACTTATTTATTTGAAAGGCAGAGTTACAAAGAAGCAGAGGCAGAGAAAGAGAGAGGTCTTCCATCCTCTGGTTCACTCCCCAAATGGCTGCAACAGCCAGAGTGTGGCCAATCCAAAGGCAGGAGCTAGGAGCTTCCTCTGTGTCTCCCAGGCGGGTACAAAGCCCAAGGATTTGGTCCATCTTCTACTGCCCTCCCAGGCCATAACAGAGAGCTGGATATGAAATGGAACAGCCAGAACTCGAACCAATACCCATATGGTATTGGTAGCTCTCCCTGCTATGCCACAGAGCCAGCACCTGGTTCTTTTTCCAAAAAGATTTATTTATTTTGAAAGTCAGAGTTACAGAGAGAAAGAGACAGCAAGAGAGAGAGAGAGA